TATGCTATGCTATGCGTATGCTATGCTTGCTATGCTGATGGCTATGCTATTTGCTAACTTTTGCTATTGCTATGCTATTTTTGCTTGCTATGCTATGCTTGCTAATGCTATGCTATGCCTTCATGCTATGCTATCTATCAGGCTATGCTATGCTATGCTAGCTTGCTAGCTTGCTATGCTATGCTATGCTATGCTATGTTATGCTATGCTATTGACTATGTATGCTTGATGCTCATGCTATGCATATGCTAATGCTATGCTATGCTATGCTATGCTATGCTATGCTATGCTATGCTATGCTATGCTATGCCTATGCTATGCTATGCTATGCTATGCTATGCTATGCTATGCTATGCTATGCTATGCTATGCTATGCTATGCTATGCTATGCTATGGATAATTGAACAACACTTACAAGTTTATTACTGTAGTTGGTTGTTTTGAAAATCCAACCATTGGCATCCAGTAGATCGGTGCTATTATCCTGTTGCACATGCTTTTGATAAATTTCGCATGTTTTGTCAATCCATTGATAATTGTATGATGTACATTTATGGTTTTCTGCGCATTTCAACGTGCAACCTTGGTCATCAATACTATTGAAAACAGCCAGACTGTTTCCTTGTAAGCGTTTGTCAAAAAAGACAACATCAAATACAGCATCAATCATGCACGGGATACGTAGAATTCTTCCATTTACTGAAAGCAAGGAATTGAGCACCAAAAACATCCTGTAAAAAGAAGAATAAACGATTCAATTCTCTAAGTTTGTTGATGAAATTATTTCGAGAGAATTTGCGAATTAAACTTATCGATGCTGCCGCATTCTCCAATTTCACTAATTTTGTTATGTACTGGATTGTTTTCCTTACAAGGCAAAAACTAGACGCAGATTCTTTAGATCCAATTTAAATGTTCAATCAATTTTGTCAAGGCAGTTCTGATTATCAAATCGCCAAAAACCTTTTTTTTGACTATAAAAAGCCATATTCAAATTTTCTCTTGAAAGAGTTGATATTTTTGTATATGTTACATCCTGAAATATAGATCGGGACTTTTCAAAACAACTCGTTTTATAATGATACCTAACCAAATTGGAATTTATAATTAGCATATTTATGTTTGTCAGTCAATATAGAAAAAGCCTTTTTGTGCATCTTCTTTATAGACAGGGAATTTTGTAGAAAAAACTAGCAAACTGCCTAACCTCAAATTTTATTTCACATTCTTACTAAATCGACCAGGGAGATTCCAAATCAAAGATGGGCCAAAAAAAATTATCACCGGAAGTTACTGTTTTTGATGACGTCATCAAAAAAATGATAAAAAATCTTAAAAATCGGCCAAGGACTCGAACTCAACTTTTTTTGCATTTTTGCACTAAATTAACTATGCAGATTTCAAATCTGAGATGAAATGAAAAATATCTCGAACGGAAGTCAAATTTTGTGATGACGTCATCAACTTGCAGAAAATTCACTTTGAACCTTTTTAATTGTTTTCTCGCAACTATCATTGTCAAATATGTTCCATATTCGAATTGCACACATTCAGTGCTTTTAAAAGATGTATTGAATTTCTATTATACTTACTTTTAAACGTTCTTTCATGACGTCATCATCATTTTATGACGTCATCGCCTTTTAAAGGTAATTGAATAACGCGTGAAAGGATGCCTAAAAATCTTTAGCTAGTTAAAAAAGTCATTCAAAATTAAAATTTCGTTGTATAGAAAATGATATGGATCCATTCATCCTTCATCACTGTCTCCTTTGCTGGAACTCCAGAAGAAAATGTAGTTCCACTCATCATCGTCTGCTTTAAGCTGATCACCTCACCATAATTTTTCCCATGGCCTAGTCCTCATTGGTTACGGAATTTTCTTCGATTTCATCACTAGAGCGCTGCAGATCTTGCAGTTTTTTAGCGGAGGGTGTGCGGGGCCCTGCACAAGATGAACATAATTTGTGTGAAAAAAATTTTGGAATTATTTTGCTGACTCCAGTATTTTCTGCAGATATTCACAGCTTTTTTAACGTTGACGATCGGATATTTTTGTCTTCAAGCCGTTAAGAAACGTTTTTCTCTGTATATCCTCTTCGTGCCATTTCTTATTTATTTATCAAATGTATGTTCAAAATTAGAATATGTAAAGAAATTTTTTTCCTATAAACCACACTAATACCACCTGTGGGCCAGATCATTCTTTCCATCGTATGTCTAACCAAAGCTTAAAGGCAATTTCTCTTACAATCTTCTTTTGATAATGTAACCAGTAGTAAATGCTTGTGTCAACCAGTATGGATCTGGTTGTAGAGCTTCTGATTATCTGTTTTTCATTGCCTTGCGAATTCTTACTCTTATCTGCACAAGTGTTTCATCACATTTCCCTTTGTATGATTATTTTTGCACAAATTTTATCGCTTTCGTGAGAATGTCTTTGCAGACTTTCTGTCTCATCGTAACTTTCTCGAGCAATTTTCCCTTTCCAGAACACTCCTAAAGCTTTTTAAAATGTTAGCTTTCCTTACAACAACATTACCGGTGTTGTTTCGCAGCCAATAACTGCATGAACAGCCGGTAGATTTTTGGAACTATCTAAACCCAGGTAAGATACGACGTTCCAAAATTAACGTACTTCTCGTTGTCAATCTTTAAGGAATATTTCCTTGAAGGCTTTTCACACAA